GAGAGAGTGGTGCACAGTGTAATTCACAGCCATCTGTCTGCCTGATTTTAATGGGCCTGAACCTGTTATGTGAAATGTTCTAGGCTAGAGCCTAGTTTGGGTTAGCTTAGAGATGGTCCCTTTTGAGAGAAAATATAACTACTGTTGTTGGTCAAAGGAAGCTTGAAATTGTTTAACAGGAATGTTGAGAGAGACAGACTTCTAAGTCCTCCATATCCAGCTACTGCTGTTAGGCCAAATGTGGCCTTCTGGATACTTTTGACTGCTGCGTTTTGCCTTGGCGAGGAGGGGAATAGTGCCACAGGTGAGATAAATTCTGCCTTGTTGCCAAGTACCATTTGCTCCCAGCTTCTGTGCAACAACTGCCACCCACTGTCTGACAGGGCAACAGTAGCCTGACTCTGTATCTGAGTCAGCAGCAGCTGCTTGTTGCTTTCCCAGCTTGTGCAGCAGTAACAGCCCAGCTCTCTGTGTTGGGAGCCGCAGTTGTCCCTTCCAGCTTCGCTGTGTAACAACTGCCTGGATCCCTGCAGCAGGTGCTGGAGGAGCAGCTGCTGCCAGATGGGGAAGACAGCTGCTTCCCTGTGATGTGGAGGTAGGCTGAAGCCTGTACTGTTGAGGTGGGGGGGTCACGGAGGGTCTCAAAACCCAGATCCAGCTGTTATGTCTGCTGGGGTCAGACCACCCTGCAAGGGATTTAGAAAAGCAAGTCTGTCATCCTGCATTACAGCTTTCTGGAAGCAGCTCCTAGGTTTGTGTCAAATCTTGAAGTCTGTCTGCCCTCCAATTTTCCTTCTACTGAATTGTTTCCTCAGTGGCTTCTGTGCTGCTTTTATGTAACAGTGATTAAGGTTACTGTGCCAGTTAACTAGGACCCCTAATGGTTAGCTCTGAAACTTTCCAAGGGTAAGGTCTCCAGCACTAAGGTGATGTGAAGCTACCTGGAAAAAAATTTGGAGAAGCCCTCTGAAATTTTACTATGTACAAATTAAAATCTGCCTGGTGGAAACACTTCCCTGGCCTGGAAGAGTACGATGCTAAGAAAGGTGATTTAACATTCAATGACTTTATCTTCGGAATCTGATTTTATGCATTCAGTACAAAACTCATCTTCGCATTCATTTTCCTCCTATGTTGTCTGGAAAAGTGCAGAAGTGGCTGCAGAGTCTCTGGAGTTACTGTGAAGGTCAAAAATGCTATCCTAGATTTAGAGGAGATGCAGAGAAGAGAAGGAGCTTGTTCGACCTTTTCTTCTCCTTTGTCCTCTGAAAAGATTTCTTTAGCTTCTTTCTGATGTGTAAAGGTTTACGAATCAGTGAGCCTTGGAGGTTTTACCTATTCTGTGGTGGTTTGTTCTTTCAGTTTGATGACTTAGAGGATGTACTGATTGTTGATTGAATCAAGAGTTAGTAGTATTCAGGTAGGAATTTTCTCTTGAAATATTTAACACCTTTTATAAAGTAGGTCTCTTATGAAAATAAAGCTGTATAAAACCTGTGAATTAAAAAGAATTTTCTCCTCAGCTAGTATCTTTACTTGCTTAGTAACATGTATTTTTGCATCTTTAGAGCTTATCTACTTTGCTATGTTCTGAAGAGTTTTTCTTCTCTTCTGTTTCTGCACAAATGTCACTTTTTTTTCCCTATTAGGTTTTTGTTTGTTTGTTTCTTGCTTGGGTAGAATGAAAGGCATAAACATGAGGAAAGAAACCTCTATGTATTATAAATAATTAAACCCTGCGACTTTTAGTCTGCCTTCCTAGATAAGTCAGGCACCTTAAGGTGCCTAGGTGTCCCCTGGACTTGTACCAATGAAATTATTCCAAATGTAATGAAAATACAGCCAGGTAACATGGCAAGAAGTCAACTAAAAGAAGGTCTTACAATTTTTCCAGTCATGGGAAAAGCTTAAATCAATTCGGGATGAGAGACAAACCCAGGAGGAACCAGACTTTGGTAATTCTGTTGCTCACAGAACCTGCTGGTTTCCTGTGTGCATTTCCCTAAAGAAAACAAAGGCAGAAGCAGGCCAGGTTGTTCTGGGACTAATCTGTCACTACAGAGGCTTTGACGTCACGTCACACTTGCCAGTGAGGGACTGCCTGTCTTGTGTGCTTAATTTCTTAGGGAGAATCAAAGACATGCAAACCAGATATTTTCTTTAATTTATCTTGCGTGACATGATGCAGTTGAAAGGAAGCAAACTCGAATTTTTGGTCAGTGGGGGCTCTTCTGGTCTTACTGATGGCTTATGACTCGATGCAGGGATTTGTATGTTGTAGTGTGTAGTGTCTGTTCAAATACAATAAGATTATAAAGGATCTTAGTTTGCTGCAACTGTGATGTTAACAGGGTGTTGAGGAAGATCTTGGAATGTCTGTTTTGTTGTTACATTGATAAGTAGCACTGATTAATTCACTGTTGTAATTCAGAAGTGTTTGTTTTCTGTTTTATTGACAACTAGCAAAAATGGTCCATCTGGAAAGTGAAATCTCAGTTTAAGAACTCGTCAAAATCAAATGTTAAAAGGGATTGTAAAAATGGTCCAGAGATTTTAACAAAAACTGTTTTCCTTGGGTATTAAGAATTCTGGTGATTTTTCTTTTCAGTTGGTGTTTATACCTGTCCATTCTTGTTACCCAAGGACTCTGCATTGCTAAGACAGCAAGAGCAGAGTTCTATTTTAGATTGTAAATCGCCAACAAGATGATTTAGAGAGGATGCAGACACACAAGTGAATTAGTTGTTTAATTACTCTCCCTCCACTGTGCTGGGGTTAACTCCTTACACTGTGTGCTCTGGCAGAAGGGTAAACTAATTTTGTTTAGTTGATCTCAAATTGAAACTATGCCAAAGTGAGCTGAATTGCTTTGCAGTTAGTATGGGCGAAGAGTGGGTGTATGGACAGTTGCAAGTCAGCTGAGCTGCAGGGTTGATATGGAGAGGGACACCTAAAACCAGTATTTGAGCCCTGAATTCTAGGTACCATCTCCTCAACTTCATCTGCACAGCCCAGGGCTGAGAACAACAGGTTTTTGCTCAAGTTCTTATTGTAGGCTGGAACACAATGTAGTTCTTAGAAAGCTCATGCAGAGTTTGCAGGGCTGATAAATGAGAAATAGTAAGAAATTTTTGTAATGACCAGCTTAAGTGTATTTCACTTAAATGGAATGGTTGATGGTAGTATGAACCCTCCCGTGATTTCAGAAATGACAAATTCAAAACCTGAACTCCTCAAGCTTACCTGGCAAAGTGTATATAAACATAAAAGCATTTGCTAGGGAACGTGTTGAAGTGTTGTTTCATTTTTAACTTCAGAAGTAACTGCAAGAAGCAGCATAAAAGAAGGCAGAATTATGCTTCTGAAGAGGAAAATAGTATTTTTTAGCACTCCCATTGCAGAGCAGGTGAAATTTAGTATTTACTCAGCATGCTAGGAGCAATGGAATAAATTCTGTCTTGTTGTAGAGAGAATCAATCTGGTCATGAGAGCATTGTGTGTCACTAGAAACTGATGCCTCCCCTCTGCAGGCGAAATTCTTTATAATTTCATCATGTGATCTTTGTGGTCCTCCATACTGGTCCATCTTGTGTAGCTGTAATGCATGTAGTGCTTTAAGTGTGGAATTTTTCGGTGTTGAATTTGGGAAGAGAGAATTGGCCTTGAATTTGTATGTGATTTCTTCTTTTTATGTCTTCATTGTTGTAAATTGGGAGAAAAATCAGAGCATGGGAAATATATGACCTGATGACTTTTTATGTCTTGGGAGATAAAAAGTGTCTGTTTAGCATTCTTCATTTCTTATCACATAAAGGGAAAACAGGACTATATGTCTTTGGAATCAGGAAAACTGATCTGTTTGCTGCTGCTATCTGGCTCTCTATTCTTGCTAAAAAGGTTCACTTTTTTTTTTCAATGCAGTTTTATAGAAATGTTTGATATAACCTTGTGGTAGAGCAGAAGGAACAGGATCATATTTCAGATCTTGTAAAAGTCTGAACTCCTCTTGTGTGCTTGAATACAGAGCATAGCTTTGGTTAAGATGAAAGATAAATTCTCGAAAGAAACTTACGTGTTTCCTTTTTTTCCTTCTGATGAAATATATCTGATATTCTTCAATGTGAATGGTAGCAAATATGTGGCAGAATGAACAGCAATGCTCTGCCTGCTGAAGTTGAATAGCTGAGAAGGTATGGGCATCAGAAGAAGGCAGCAGGGAGCTGCATCATGGTGTTTGCTGGGTAGAGGTGCTCTTGTATGTGAAATTGAGCTCAATTTACAATACAGTGTTATGGGGTGTTAGCATTACCTTAAAATGCTATTGTATTAGATTTCTTGAACTAGGTAAAGCCAGAGTATGGGGCTGGAACAACAGGCAGGTGTTTTGTTCGAAATGAAATGTTTCATTGTATAGTCTTCATTTGGAGTAGTTCCACAAGGGGTGCTCATTTGGACAGGCAGTAGCGGGCTGATCACTTTGGTCATCAGAAATTCATAGTTGCTACCATCTTTTCCTCTTGCACTGCACTGAGTAACACCAGAGTGAGTATAAGAAGCAGGTAGAGGCAGTAGGGTTTATATAACGTGTTTCTGGCTTTGGACGAATTTATTTCAGCTATTTCAAACATCATTTTAAGTATTAAGGCTTTTCGTGCTCACTTTGAAAGTGGTATGAGAGCTTCATAACTTTGAACGTAGAACTCTCAAAACACCTTTATGGGACAGAACTGTTGTCCTAATTTTGCAAATGACTACTTTGACTTGCTTCCCTAGTTGGCTTGCTCAAGGTTACACAAAAATCCTCTGGTGGAACAGGCAATTGTATCTAAATGTTTGATGTTTAAAACTTGCAATCTCATTTCTGGATTACCCTCTCATAACAGAAATGAGAGACCTATACCTTTCTTGTCATTCTGCTGAAATTAATTAAATTCTAAGTATTAATGCTCTGATGTTGATCAATGCTTTTAATTCTGTTTCATGCTTCTTTTTATTTTTAGGCATGTACTGGTATTGAAAATATTGATGAAGCTATAACATTGCTTGAACAAAATAACTGGGATTTAGTGGTAAGTATTCTAAGAAAATGACTTCATAGATCAACCCCACGTAACAGTGACATGCTATCTTGCTGGGACAGCTGGGAGCTTTATTTCAAATTTGGGTGTGTCTTGTGGCTGGGGAAAGCGGGTTCTTCTTTGCAGGCTGTTCCTGGTCTGTTAAGGCCTCATCACCAAGTAAATGTGATACCAACTTGTCTGCACCCTGGTCTGCTCTGATTGTCTTCATGCTTTTTTGGTTTCTTCCTTATCCTCTAAATCCATGTGTCATACTGTGTTTAGTTTCCTTTCTGGCATACTTTGGTAAGAAGTATTATTGAGGGTAGCATTTTTTGAAGACTTCCTGTGTGTATACACACACAGTTTTTGAGGATTTAGGTGCCTGTGGAAGAAATGGAAGGTAAAAACTTCTTCAATTTTTCATATGCTTTTAGTTTAAAAATAAGATAGTTGCTCTTCTATTGTTAGTGGTTATGCAGAATTGAGTCAGATGATTAAAGCCATAACTTATTTAGATTTGGTGTTATCCAGACACCACTAAACACAAACAGAAAAACCAACAAACACTGATCCTAAACACACTGTTGTCTATTTTGTAATAAGGGTCAATGTGCAGACAAGTAGGGGGAAACCAATGAAACCAAGCAAAATAGTCTTAGGTATTTTAAGACTCTGCATAGGATTAGCAGGATAAATAAGCCATTAATCCATTTTCTTAAGGTTTAGAAGTGTAAAATAGAACAAACTTAATTAAAAACCGACTCCTTTTCCTTTAAACTGTAATATCTTTGATTTCCTCCTTTTTCTTTTCTTTTTCTCTTTCCCAAATGAGTGACCTTTGAATTGGTCCAAATTATCAGAATTTTTTTGTTTTTTAAAATTAGATTTTCCAAAATTGACTATGGATATGGTTTCAACTCTGCCACATTGTTTCCAGCATATTGTTCAGAGTGTTCTTGTATGTTTTAATGATTTCAAGCTAAGTATGACAGAGGTTAGAGAAGGGTTTTAAATTGAGTTTGTTAGAGTCAATATTGGGTTTCTTTTAAGGCCTAACAATGGAAATGACCTGTAATATTGTAACCTATTGTAAATAAGCACTATGTACTCCCAACACTTGAAACTGCATGTTGAAATGGATGTGGAGTCTTTATTTTGCAACATGTCATGGTATAAGCAAGAGTGAGACATCAGTGAGCAAAAGGGGAGTGCTTGTCATTAGTGGCTTCAAACAGGAACCCCCAAATGTGTGTTGATTGAGTGAGATAGTTAAAAACATCTTTTGTCATAGTAGTTTGTTGTGACATATCATGAGCTGTTTTGGAAATTAAAGTATTTCTTGGAAGCCTTATGCATTCTGTTCAGGTGTGAAGTTCCCAATCCAATACATTAAATCAGCTGGATGTGGTTTGGGGGGATTTGTAAATGGTATGTTTTACAATAAATCCTCACAGATTGGGTTGAATGAGAGAACTGCGATGAAAAATGGTCAGAACAGCTCAGTCTCTTCTGAGACTCCAGAAGGAACTGAAAGGAGAGTGAAGTATCTAAAGCTATGAGAATGGCTATAAGAATACATCTATATACTTAATTTTACTGGTGATTCCTAAATGATTTAGAAGCCGAATATAATCCAAAAATGCAAGCTTAAGAAAGTCATAGGGAAAGTAATAAAGGATAGAAAATTAGGAGTGCAAGAGATACTTAGGGAAAGTATCTTGAAACTAAACAGAAGATGAATGAGAGGAGTGTCCATGAAAAGGAAATGGTAAGTTGTGGAAGAAAACATAATACTGGGAAGAGTGTAAGTGAAGGAGGTGTTCTAAGGCTCTTTTTATTAAACATAGCCTGCTTGTAAAAAAAGGAGTTAAAACCAAATGATGATAATCTAACTGCGAGATAGAAGCAGAAGAGTGAAGAAAGAGGAGAGAAGATAAAAGAAATGTGATTTTAAGTAGAAAAGGAGTTGCTAGTTTGAAAGAGAATCAAACATCTCTGTTAGGCAAGGGATTTTAGCATTTCAAAAGTACATGAAGAAAGACTCACCACTTGTGAGAAATACTACTTTAAAATTAAAAGTGCATGATCCATGTATAGTGGGGTTTTTTATATATATGTGGGCTTTTTATACCTTTGATTCAGTAGTCAAGTGCAGATTCAGTGCTAAGAAATGGAGGGAGGGAAGGCTTTGTTTTGATTCAACCAGAAGGTCTTGGAGTTTCTTAGCTGAGATGGAAAATGTAAAAAAATCCTTTTTGTTTGGAACTAAATATGTCATTCAGCTCAGAACAAAACACTTTTTTTTGGATTTGTAAGGAAAACAGAACTTGCAGGACTTGGTTCACAGACCATGAAGACACTAGTGAAGTACTCATGTTTTTAATAAGGCTTCCTGTATCCTTTGGCCAACAACGTGTTAGGTAAATGGGAAGAACATCATTGCTGTCTTCTCTGTTTTCCCTTGGTTTTGTGCATCTAATTAGAGGCTTTTAAACGTGATGATGGAGGTAAAATCAGAGCTCAGTATTTGATCAGGAAATCTTTTGTGAGGCACCCAGGATAATAAGAAGTAGAAAGCTAAGCAAGTCCTGTTAGGATGTCATCAACCAAAGTTCAGGGGCACTCTTGCAGCAGCAGGGGGAAAGACCACAACCCTAAGTTAAGGAAGTTCTTGTCTGGAACACGTTGCTTGCTTGCTCTTCATTCAGGCTGTCTGTATCTCAATTCCATTTTCCTGTTTGGGGGTAAAAGTTTGTGCACAATCAGAGGCTGTGCTAGGGACCCAGTTTGAAGATTCCCTTGGGCACCTGTTGCTTCGTGAACTCTCTGACACTCGACTCAAGGGTGTTGTTATTTCTCTGGGACTTGAGCCAAAACAACCAAGAGCAAGTAGTCCTGGTGAGTTGGAAAGCAGAAGGATCCAAAGAGAAACAGGGAAGTGTATACTGACATGGGCCTGACAGAGAAGTACATCAGAATGCACAGAGACAGCAGAGTTCACTAAGTTCACAAAACAAGTTTCTTATGTTGTGCTACAAGTACTGTGTGTTTGTGTAAGATTTTCTG